GGGAGGTTTGCCATAAATGGGCTGGGCATAATTAAGTTCACATCACTCAAACGCTCGTTAAAATGACCAGAGCAATCAATATATTTGTTGCAAAATAAACATGGGCGACATAACATACTGGTGCTGGTGATATTTTAGACAGTCCCTTGTTTTAAAAGTTATGTGCATGGTCACAAGAGTGACGAGGAGTAAATAAATAGGCTGATGATTTGGGCCCACTGGAAAGTGTGTTTAATTAATGCCAATGCCATTATTTAAATTTCTGACTGTTCAAAGTTGGTGTGACAAAATTTGCAAGACACAAGACAACCAGTCTTCTCAATAATCACTCGTATTTTGACAACGCCTATCAACATGTTAACCAACGTTCCAAATTAAACGCACTGAGCTGACTGACCAGGCTGGTGGTTATGGCGGAGTATCTCCACACCAACACCAGTCTGTGTCACTACTCACTCCGGGGCGTGGGGTATATCTCTAGAGCGCCGATCGCTTAGAGCTACTCCTTGCTGCCCGAGACAGCGGCGACGTCGGCGCGTGGGGTATCGCGACGCCCCGTGCAGCGCACAGCGTACTGCCACTGCCGGCGAGGGCGCCCCATTCGAAAGCCGTCGACATGCTGCTGCTGACGACAGCATGGGGCACATAAACACCTTTACAGCGCCGGTAGACGCACAAGACCTTTCCGACAGACTGTCTTTCTATAGACTCTCATAGCCACGAGTCCTTGGGGCTCCATCGCACGACGCTGCCGCCGCCTCTCCGGTCGGCCGCACTTCCTCGTCGCGGTGCTCAGCTCGGCCTGTCGGACGAGCGTAACCATCCCGGAGCAGCAGGGCGATACAACCGTGGTCGCGGACCGGACCGGCGCGCGACCGGCCGAGAGTGCGAGGAGTGCACAGCCTTGAACGCCACGCCCCGCCACACTTTCCAGTCCAGCACACGCTCCACGTCCACGGGCGAATCTCTGCGTCAAGCTCATCGCGTCAGTGGAACAGGGCGGGGCGGGGCGGGGCGGGGTGCGGCGGCGCGGCGCGGGCCGCTGGCGGTAGCGGCCCGTGCATCAGTCATTTCGCGCTATACCTTCTCGCGGCACCTACGCGACGGCGACGACGGCGAGCCCGCGCGCTCCGCGGATCACGACGGTCAGGACCGCCCACACCTGAATGGCGCTGTACGCGGCGCCGGCGGCAGCGTCCTTCCCGTGGTCCTCCCGCTCATCAGCTGACTGACGGGCTGACGGCTCCGCGCGCTTCGCGAGGCGTCGGGCGCTCGCGGCCCAGTCCCGCACCGGCAGCAACACCGGCGGCAGGGGGAGCAGCGCGGCGCTCTCATCCGCGTCGGGTCATCGTCACCGCGCTCGCCGACAAGATGACCGTGGTGTGGGCCCAGCGGCTGCTCAGCTGCGGAGGTGAGGCCAGCGAAAGTGATAAGTGATTTGGTTCGGGCCTCCTGCCCCTCCCAGTCGACTGTGGGTACGGCGACTTCCGCGGCCTATGAGAGGGCGACGGGTACTCGGCCGCGGGGAGGAGAGCCCTGTGTGTGGAAGTGAGTGTGTGTAGGTGTGTGAGTGCGTGTGTGTGTGAGAGAGAGAGATAGAGTGCGCGCGCGCTCGCGCGTGTGTTCCGTGTTTCCGGCCAGTACAGCCCTGACAGTGGCCCCGATGGCGCATCTCGCGCCTTGCCGTTAGATTCGTCCGACGCAAGGAGCACACACGAATTGCCTCCGTGTTTTGGGGGAGACTGGAAAGGGAAGGAGATGGGGAAGGAGGAGTCCTTTTTCTGGTCCTTACGTAAAGGTAGTAAAAATTGGAGGCTATTATTATAAATACATCCCTGAAGGTAAAATATTTTACTTGGTTGTAACTAAATACCGCGGTGTGTAGAAAGCTGCCAGACGGCCCTCAACTTAATTGAAGAGACGGTGACAAGACTACCCCCCGAAGAAGACCCCAGGCCAGGTGTGGGGTGGGATAACTCTTGTCATGGTCGATGTGGTCCTGTGAGGTTGAGAGCATCACACTCTCGATGCCGGTGCATGACACTGCTGCGGGGCGCGCAGCGCGTGGCATGGCGGCAGAGAGGAGAGAGGTGAGCCGGTCAAAATGTAGGCCGCTGGCCCAACAACGATGAGGCGATCTGAGTGGCCGATTGATTGCAGTGCACACAATCACACTCGGTTAGCCTATCTGTGCGGTGGACTCGCGCTACCGAAAGCGAACGCGCGCGCCGCCAACTCACCGAGCATAAGCGGCCGGTATTTATTATTGCGCCGAGCAGCGACCCGAGCTGAGCTTCGATAGAGGCGGGGGCCGCAATCTGCGAAAAACACGGACCTATGCAGCTGAGATAAAACCATGTCAAAGTGCCCTACCGGTGAAAGCAAGGGGGATTGGCACCCGAGATAAGGGAAGTGTTTTGGGGAGCAGCGGAGGTGGGGACGCGCCGCGTGTCCCCTTAGCTTTTTGCACTGCAAGCGACGCCCACGCTGTAAATGTGGGGTGTCCACCTGCTGGCTGACTTAAAGTATGGCTGAAAGTCGCCTTGGCCCGGAAATTTAGGCGACTAAAGTCAGCCAGCTCTAGGCACATGCTGGTCTCCACACGATAAAAGTATACAACGACTCGTCCATACGAGATAGATCACTGCAACCCCCAAGATGAAGAGAGGACTTGATTAAGTTCAGTGACATGGAAAACCAGCCTAAATAACTACGTCATATGCGACTTAAGCCTTCGACCTGCAGGGCACCCATTACAGAGTCAACGCCACATGTTTTCCAGGGGTGGTGAAGCAGCGCTTCGTCATGTCCTTCATGCTGCTCATGGCCGTCCTCAACATCTACACGATGCGCACCTGCTTGTCGGTGGCCATCGTGCAGATGGCCGACTCGCACGTCCACAACTCGACGTACGTGGACCCGTACAAGTGCCCGGCGCCCGGTGGCGGCGCCAACGGCAGCAGCTCCTCGGGGGGCTCGGTGAGTACGCGAAGGCCGCGGCCCTGACTGAGAACTGCTGATTCGGGCGGGAGCCGGGGACATGTGTGTCGGGGGAGCGCACATGCGCACGCTAACCGTGACAAAAGCCACGGACGCCAGGAACTATTGTTTTCGCCGGGTAAAAACGACAACAAACACCGTGGTGCTTTCAGCGGCCGCCCGACTTCCACTGGGACGAGACGACCCAGGGCGTGGTGCTGAGCTCGTTCTACTACGGCTACATCTTGTCGCACATCCCCGGCGGCGTGCTCGCGGACCGCTTCGGCGGCAAGCACACGCTGGGCCTCGGCATCCTGTCCACGGCGCTCACCACGCTGCTCACGCCGCCCGCCGCCTGGCTCGGACCCGGCTGGCTCATCGCGCTCCGGGTCATCATGGGCGTCGGCGAGGTGAGGCTCGGGTCACGCGGCCCCCGTCGAGGCCCCCGTCGAGGCCCCCGCCGAGGCCCCCGTCGAGGCCCCCGCCGTGGAGCGGTTGGACTGATTGTGTGTCATTGTTGGCCGTAGGGCGTGACGTTTCCAGCGGTCAGCGTGCTCCTGGCGCACTGGGTGCCCCCCGCCGAGCGCAGCCGCCTCGGCTCCTTCGTGTTCGCCGGTAAGTACTGGTCAGCAGTATACATACCATTTCAAATTGGAAAGTTACTAAAAGTTTGGTCAGGTCAAACGGACATACTGACCAAATTATGGCCAGTCCATTTCGCGTGGGCGTCAACCCTCAACGCTCTCAGCCACCCCACTTTGATTCGGGTCTTCACGAAAAGAGTTTCCTCGCTAACTAGACTCCTCCCTGCCGACAGGCGCGCAGCTGGGCACGGTGCTGGGCACGGCCATCAGCGGGCTGCTGCTGGCGCACTTCGACTGGCCCGTCACCTTCTACTTCTTCGGCGCGCTGGGCGTGGCCTGGTACGCCGTGTGGCTGGCCGTGTGCTACTCCACGCCCGAGGAGCACCCCTTCATCTCGGAGCGGGAGCGCGACTATCTGCACCGGCAGATTAAGGCGAACAATCACGGCAAGGTGAGGAGCAGCGGCTCACCCGATAAGGAGAGCCGGAGGTTAAGTCGAACGCTATTTGACTCACCTTGGCGGTTTAACGCCATCCCTCCTTCTCCCGCACCCCGCAGACCATCGCGCCGACGCCCTGGGCGGGCATCCTCACGTCGCTGCCCGTGTGGGGGCTGGCCGTCGCGCAGGTCGGCCACGACTGGGGCTTCTTCACCATGGTCACGGACCTGCCCAAGTACATGAAGAGCGTGCTGCAGGTCAGCATCGGCAAGAACGGCCTCCTGTCCGCGCTGCCCTACCTCGTCATGTGGGTGTGCTCCATGCTGTTCGCCGCCGTGGCCGACTGGATCATCGCCCACCGCTACTGGAGCGTGCTCACGGTGCGCAAGTTCTTCACCACGCTGGGTGAGTACGCCACGGCCGCGGCCGTGAAGAAGACGTCCGCTGGTGGATCCACTCTGCAACATTAAAATTGGCATGAAAATACAGCTCCCAAAGCATTTAACAATAAAAGTTCTACATTTATGAAAGCTACATTATTTGAAGCACACTAAAACTGCGAAAGTAATATTTTTCAATGAAAATTTTCTAGTAATTTTAAGATAATTATTTTTAATTGTTTGCCACTCTCCTCCGCACAGCGTCCATCATCCCCGCCCTGGGCATCATCGGCGCGTCGTACGCCGGCTGCGACGAGACGCTGACTGTGGCGCTGTTCACGCTCGGCATGGGCGGCATGGGCGCCTTCTACCCGGGCATGCGCGTCAACGGGCTGGACCTGTCCAAGCACTACGCGGGCACCGTCATGGCGCTCGTCAACGGGCTGGGCGCCGTGTCCGGCATGGTGTCGCCCATCCTCATCGGGCTGCTCACCCCGCACGTGAGTAGCAGGGCGACGCGCCTGGGGAGTAGGCCGCCCGCCTCCAGGACACACACGCCTACGCGGCGGTCGGCCTACCTCAGCGCCCTGCGCGCCTGGGGAGTAGGCTGCGCGCGACCAAGGCAAGCACGCTTGCGCAGCGGGCAGCCTACCTCAGCGCCTGCCCGCCAGCCAGTGCAGCACCCATCACGCTACCTCCGGCCTCCGACAGGCGTCCTCAAGATGCTGCGCCGATGATAATGCCTCTTTATGACCTTACGCGCGTGGGAAGCAACACAACTCGAGCTCTGTTCTGCTTTGCAGTCGTCCCTGCTGGAGTGGCGGCTCACGTTCTGGATCACGTTCGGCGTCCTCATGGTGAGCAACCTCATCTACGTCCTGACGGCGCAGGCCAGTTTCCAGAAGTGGGACCGCCAGCCCGACGAGAAGGAGGACTCCGCCAAGAAGCCGTCGGCGCCCCCGATCCCGATGACCTAGGTGGCCGCCGAGGCCCGGGCGGCCAGGTGGTCTTGGACAGCGGCACCCTTGGTCTAGTCCAGGCCGCGACCCGGGTCGATGACGCAACAAGAGGTCTGCGGGCAGACCGCGAAACGGCGACCCACCGACGTGTGCAGAACTCGGGATGGGCAGCAGCGCCGGAGTCGTCGCAACCTCCACCGGACTGGACATTTCTTATGATAGACTGCGCCGACTTGACCACTTTTTCTGTTACCAAACTAGGACTTTTTGTGCCGACGAGCACACAGTGGCATCGCTCGCCGATGGCGCGCGGTTATGGCCGATAACTAGTCGTGAATTAAGTCAGAGTCAGACCTCGCCGTGCGGCGCCGCGCACCGACGGATCGAGTCGAGCAGTTTGACTTGTCGCCGTGTTGCCCTCAGAAGGATGAGCGGTGGGACGCGGCGCCGCGGTGAGCGGGCCGCCAGGTGGGGCCAGCTGTGCGATGGGCGGCCTACCCACCTGGCGCGACCAGACACCTGCTGCTCGCACAGAGCATCTCGGGCCAACACGAACACGACAACCGTTTCAGAGGGGAGAATATCTTCGTTCTTCGTTGTTGTTATTTTTAATTTAACAATTTTTAAGATTAATGATGAA